TGGCTCGAACTGATTTGGTTTTTAGAAAAGGAAACGGTCTGAAAACCGCAAGAAACACACACTCGAAAAACTTTCATTTCAAACTTTATTGCAATGTACAGAACTTATATGTTGCAGTGACAATTGATAAAAACAATATCTTAATGAAAATTTGCCATAGTTTTCATTTTACTGGAAATTTCTCGATCTTTCAATTTCTATGAGGATTTTTTCCAGGTAGTTAGTTTGGGATGAAGATCCTTTTCCTCGGGTCTGTCTTCAGATTCCTGGACAGCAACAAAAGTTTCACTTTCATCATCTGCAGTTGAACCTTCAACTATCTCGTCTGGTTTGCATGGTAACTGGTTTTTTCTGCCATTAGCTTTGCCCATCTTACCGCAAGGATGACGACCGCCATGTTTTCTCTTGGCATCGCTGTATGAAAGGAGAAATAAGAGTCTTATGAAATACAAAAAAATATTTGAAAAACAGCCTAAGTCGGCAGTTGAAGTGTGTTACTGTGGCATTCCCACTCAGTGATTTCTTTCTTTTTACGTTCCTAATTACCTTTTTGTGTTTTTGTACTCACATTTTTCTCATTGTTTCCGTATTCTTTTCATTCAAGGCGATTTGTATTCTGTTAGATTTTTTCGCCTAATTCTGCTTTGTTTAATTTCTTTCGTAAAAGTTTATCAAAAAAAAATTTAACATTGGAGTATCAGTGATTCCTTCACTGCGATCGTCTTTAGTTTTTCAATCCTTCGTGCTCACAAGTCATACAACCTTTGTAAGTGTCTTTCCATGTCCGATTGTATTTCGTCTGTTGTTTTGTGTTTTCCTATTCCTTTTACTTCGTAATAACTTGTAATTATTTGTTCCTTTAACAACCACGATCAACCGTAATAAAAATAAATTTAAAATGTTCGCGCGTTGAAATCTGACTTGTTGGCAGTCACAAAGTGCTTGCATGCTGGTCGATTCAAGGGATAGAAAAACGTTTTGAGATGTTACCATGTAAAAAACTGCCTGCGAAGACTTGCCTGTTGCATTTTCAGTTATGAAATAAATGAGAGCTCTATACATTTTATAGACCTAAAAACAAACAAACAAACAAACAAAAACTACGTTACGCGTTCACCTGAAGTTTGTTGTTTTAATGAATATATTGCCTCCACTTACTCCGTTCAGCGATACTTATCACTGAAAAACATTTGGATTTCATATCAAGCCAGTTTTGTAGAAAATTACCTGTCATCGATGAAAAGAGCTGCAGCAACCACCGTCACAAGAATAGCTACCCAAAGCTTATTCATATTTCGTGACCTTCTCTAGGTGTGTAAAGAGTTCTTAAAATCTATGAAGGGGATCTTACTTCAACGCAGCCAAATCTGATTGTTTGGACGAGATATCTATATCATGCGGGTCTTTAACTACAAAACATCAATGACTTGG